TTTGGAAGAAGGTTTGCTCTGTTTCATTGTGTATCTGTGATGTAAAGATCTGCCGTTGCTGTTCCCCTCCTGTCCTCAGGATGGCGCCAGAGGTCGCAGCAGTGGAGATAAAAGGTGGCTACAATGAACTGTGTGACATCTGGTCTGTGGGTATCACTGCTATAGAGCTGGCAGAGCTACAGCCGCCGATGTTTGACGTTCACCCGCTGCGGTAAATACAATGAGATAATGTGAACGACTCTGCACAGAAACACAGCCGTGTGATATCTATACCCATATATCTATATGGAGCCAATCCCAGCTGACACTGGGAAAGAGGCGGGGTCCACCCTGGACTGGTCGCCAGTCTGTCACAGGGCTGACATGTAGACAGACAACCACACACACTCCTACGGGCAGTTTAGTCACCAGTCACCAGATTTTTTTTATTTTCTCAAAACACAGTTGACTCTTTAGTTAATTTTAATACTGAAAAGTTTGATTTAATTTCAAAATAAATGATCATTAAAGCCTGGTCCCCGTGTGTGTGCACCTACCGCCACAGGCCGAATACTTTCTGTTTAAGGGTTGGTCCATCCAAATTACAAAATGCATAATATTTACTTACTTCACCTCCAGACATGCAGACAGTTGTGGTTTTACTTCTGTAGGTTTTGAAATAACATCTCAGAGATTTCTCCTTCCACCCTGGTAGAAGGGGAAAAAAGATGCACATAAAAACTCAGCATGTCTTTCCAGAATGTCTCCCACTTACTCTGGATAACAAACCGTTTTCAAAGGAACTACTTCTTCAGTAGAAAGTGCATCTTAATGAGAAGCAGTATTGATACACACCTGAAGGTAAAATCTGTGTGTCTTACATCCTCCTGGTGAAACTCTTTGCTGGAAGGCGATGACGAGCCTGGCGACACCCTGTGTCTCCTGCCTGTGTCTGTGCTGCAGCAGCTCATTGTGCATGGGGGAAGTCGACATTTTAAGCTGGGCAGAAGAAGAGCAACAGGAAGTCCAAGTTTAGGAGACATCATGAGTCACTGGTGTTAAAGACGGTTTCAAGGGTTTTTTTTTTGTTTTAAGTGTAAAGTCATCCGATTTTGAAGATGATCTAAGTCCACTCCTCTGCCCCCCCACCTCCCGTGGGCTCTACTGGTACAGTCTTCTTATGGCGTACAGTGTTCACTGATGCCTTGGAAAGGTCTGAACTTACTGCTTGATTGCAGGAGACAAATTCTGCCATAAAAGGCCCAAAACGTGTAGGAATGAACCTTGTTGTCTTTGATCATTGTCACAATCACACACGAAAATGCACTGCAGGCCTTTCTCAACCTGTGTGGAAACGTACGCATGTGACACAGGCTGAACTTGCTTCAGATGTTTCCCCTCACCACATTAGTAGGTGGACACATACACAAACATGCTGTGTGCACGCTGATGGGTCAAAACATCTAGTGTTTCCATCACCCACACATGCGGTGAGCAGATGCGCGCACACACACCTTCCTCACTGAATGAAACACAAAACACATTGTAGTTATGGTCCGGCCCACGAATCAAATGTATAATAGGACAGGCCACACCTGTGTGCATGTGGCGCATACACACTCACTGTTTTCTCCTGTTTCCGCTCTGCAGGGTCCTGTTTCTTATGTCGAAGAGCGGCTACCAGCCTCCTAAACTGAGGGACAAGTCTAAGTGGTAAAATATTACACATTACATTCCACCGTTTAATCATGGGAGCACCTTGCTCCTGCAGCATCTGTCTGTTATGGTCTGGTCAGACATGTTTCCAGCCTTGAAGAGATCTTGGCTTAGTGTGTATTTGCACATATATGAAATATTTAAAACTGAAATGGAGGCAAAATCAAATTGCATGTTATTTCTACTTGTGTTAATATAAAGTAATACATAGAATCTACAGCCAGTCCTTCTTTATATGTGTGATACTGTGTGCGTATGAAGAATTAGATTGCAGAGATTCCTTTCTCAGGTTTTGTTTTATAAAGTGCTGCGAACTTACAGTGTCTCTTTTCTGCAGGTCGTCCATGTTTTATAACTTTGTGAAGGCCATGCTGGTGAAGAACCCAAAGAAGAGACCCAGTGCCTCCAAGATGCTCTCAGTCAGTACTACTCACACACACTCACACTCACTGTCTGCCTCTAACTGATCGAGCCTAGAAAGGCCGATAGGCTGTGAATGTCTAAGACTAGTAATCTGTGTGTGTTGATTGTAGCTTGTGCGTTTTTGCATAATTTGTACTAAAACTGTAACGAAGAAAAGAGATGTCACACCTTCATTTTTATTTTCATAATTATGTATCTGGGGCAGTGGGGGTCTAAAGTTTAGACCGGAAGGTCACTTGTAGGTCACCGGTTCAATACACAGACTGGCAGGATTCAATACTGGGTGGGACAGGTGACAAAGCCACGCTTGCCCTGTCGTCATTAACACCACTGTGGTGCCCTTGAACAATGCCCCAGCTGCTTCAGCAGGTCAGACTAGGGGGTGGTGCAGTGATGTTAGCACTGTCGCCTCACTCTTCTCACTGGTGGTGTGAGTGGTTGTCTGTCTCTGTGCGTCAGCCCTGCCACAGACCGGTGACCTCCTCTTACAGTGCGATGTTTGGCCACTGTAGCCACCTGCACTAACTTCCTGTGTCTGTTCTCCACCTCGCCCCCGCTCCACAGCACATGTTTCTGACCCAGCAGTGCCTGAACCAGGAGCTGACCCTGGACCTGCTGGAGAAGTATCGACACCCTGAGAAACTGAAGACCTGCCTGGCGCCAGACGACGAGGAGATGGAGGTTTTAATTATTACTTTATTTAACGAAGCTCCATAGATACTGTATGACAAATTGGTCTTGGATCATCATGACTCAGCCCTAGCTCAGCATGTTGTCTCTCAGTTAATTGTTGATTAAGCAAAAAAGATACTTAATGCATTATTTTAACAAGTTATTTCTCCTCTTTAGTTTTGTTCTTGTGTTGGTGGCTTTAATTTGATTCTACTGTGGAAATTAAACGAACTAGCTTCAGCCTAACTCTTTGTCAGCTGTTGGTCAGGACCCCGCCCTCTTCTACAGACTCGGGGAGTGTTAACCAGATGTTGTGTTGATGGTTTAAGGTGGCGGTTCCTGCATCTTTAAGGAGGATCCAATCTATCAACAAACACAACCGGGCAGAGAGGACAAGCTCTGACGTAAGCTGTAAGTAAACGCCCACCCCACCTTTTTGTTTTTGAATAGTTCAGTCAGCTAAAGAGAAAAGTTGACTCTTTATCTGCTGAATACAGTTTTTTGGAAGTATTACCTCACAAAGAGAATATAGTGTGTAGATTCCAGGCCTTATGTTCCTCTGCTCACCCTGCTGTCAGGGCACATTGAGTTTCAGCCCTGTTGCTGGAGCAAGAATACATATTCATCCTGCCATTGCTCTTATTATTGATAGGACAATGTTAACATCAAGTGTAAGTGTGTTAAATCTTTGTACTTGCTCAGTGGAACAGATTTACACTCAGAGGCCTGCGAAGACACACTCACCAGATGTAACGGTAAGCAGAATGCCAGTAGTGGGACTTTATAAACACATATCGATGCAAATAAACATGTACACATCCACGCACACAGTACATACATGCATCATGTACACATTACATACTTGTAAACAATATCCAGTGTGCATGCATGAAGCTACAGTATTTATACTCATATATACTTTACTGTAAATGTACATAAAGTAATACTGCACATGGGGTACTTAGAGGTTGGACACACAGGGCTTTGTCAAGCCTGACGTTATCCTAGTCAGTGTTGCAAAGTAAATATTTTGTTTTTGCACATCAGTGGCGTCACAGCTGGTAAAAAGTCAACATTGCTAATTTCAGACAGACGCAGTAATAAACTGGGGTTTTCCACCAAATCCTCGCTGTGTGTGTGTTTGTGTCCTGTCAACAGGAACTACAACACCCATCAGAGTCGATTTGGGACTGTTGGGCTCTGTCGTTTCTATCTTCTCCCTCGTACCTTCTTATATTATACATCTCAAACCATGTGCTCACCGACCGTAAGGTCTTTTAAAAATATACGTTGTGTTGTGTTTTTTACAGTTAAGGCCTTCAATGGGATCAACTGGCAGCAGGAAGAGTCCAGCGAGGTAACAGCTCAGCCGCAGACAGATTCACATCAGACACCAGTGTCTGATTAAAACGGTTAACCTCCCTCTTCTCTCTCTCAGGGACGAGGACACAGACACAGACGATGACTATGATGATATCGACATGTAAGAAATCACCACACAATGTCACCAAAACGTTGTGGTAGCCTGGATGTAATGTTTAGAGCTAAATATTTCACAAACACAGATGACTGTGTGAACAGTAGTGGTCATTTGTTAAAGCTCAGAACCGGAGCTATCAGAAATGTTAATGATTGTGCTTGAGGTTATTGCTAGTAGTCACTTGTGTGGTAACGTCTCTGTGGTTTTTGTCCACCTCAGCCCTACGATGCAAGAGAACAGGTGAGCTGAACAAACACAAACTCACCTGTGTGCTAATGAGCATTTGCATCATTTACACAGCAGACTGAACCAACACTCTCTCTGCCTACAGCGTCCTAAGACGAGCTGCTGAGACGCCTCCTCCACTTCCTCCAAAGGTGATACATGGTTTTATGTGTATATGTGTTACAGTGGCAGTGCCCTGTGTCGTAGGCCTTGTTAAAACCGATTCACACTGTGTTTACACAAGAAGCATCATAAGATTATTTGTGGTTGTCACAATTATTGCCTGGTATTATAAAGTGTTTCACTCTGGAGACACTGGATTGTATTACTCTGATATAAAGGCTGAAATATGAGGCATTGTTGCCAAATCTCTCTGTTGTACCACATTTAAGAACATATGTTTTAATGAGTTTTAATTAGTAGTTAGATTGTTATATGACTATTAATTATTAAATTAAATTAATTTCTCAGCTAACAGTTTGTACATTTGATCACATAGTTCACTGTTTCCAAGATCAGGGTACAGATCAGACTTATCCCAGCTACTGAACCCTGGAACAAACCAAACCTCTTGTTTCACGTCAGCGTGTTTCTGTGTTTGCAGCCCAAAGTGCGGACCAGCTCAGAGGAAAGTGTGACGGGGGAGGAGGACCGGGCGAGGAAGCCCTCCTCTCTGTACGCCCCCACCCCTCTCATTAGGACCTCCAGTGCGTCGCAGGTCCGACCTACACCGAAGCCACGATCCTCACGACACTCAGGTGCACTGCTTTACTCTGTACTGTACTGAAGGGGCATGGTCATAAATCACCAATACACACAATGTATCAGTGAATATGCTTTTACTTTCATGCAGTATTTCCAATGTTTTCATAATAGCTGATTAAGTGAAGCTTAAGTTTGATCCTCCACTAGCAGAAAATACACCGACCAGCCACAGCGTTAAAACCTACTGCCTCATACTGTGCAGGTCCCCCTCGTGCCACCAAAACGGTCGAGATGTGGACTCCACAGACTTCTGAACGTGTCCTCTGGTATAAGATCCTTTTAGTAAGTTGCGAGGTGGGGCCCCCATGGATCGGACTTGTTTTCTAGCACATTCCACAGATTCTCGATCGGGTTGAGATCTGGGGAATTTCGTGCTACAGTAGACCTTCTGTGGGATCGGACCAGATGGGCTAGCCTTCGCTCTCCATGCACATAAGTGAGCCTTGGGCGCCCATGACCCTGTCACCGGTTCACTGCTTGTCGTCCCTTAGACTCCACTGTTGGTCGGTACTGACCACTGCAGACTGGGAACGCCCAACAAGACCTGCTGCTTTGGTCTGCTCTGATCCACTCATCAGCCATCACAGTTTGGCCCCTGTCACAGTTGCTCACATCCTTACGCTTGTTCATTTTTCCTGTTTCCAACACATCAACTTCACCTGCTGCCTGCGATACCCCAGCGCTTGACATCACCTGCCAGTGGTTTTAATGTTGTGGCTGATCAGCACAGGGCATTTTAATCTTCATAGAAGAACAGTATAATGGACTTACTGGAAGTGACTGAATGATCCAAAGGCAACCAGGACCCCAGTGCAGTTTATTTAGAGCAGTATTCAAGATTGTGTTTTATTAAGAATACTTTTGTTCAGTTGTTATTTTGTCTGGTTTCACCCTCAGCTGCCCCCCCACATACACATCTACTTACAGTCAGTCCAGAAAACTGTTCTGTAGCTGCTTCAGGACACTTTTCAGCTATAGACCAAACTTGCACCTTTTTCAATATGAATACATTTCAAATTATATGACACAGTTTTCTTGTTGTATGTCTGTGTGTGCATGTGCGTGATCCAGACCCTCCATCCTTACCTACTCGGTTTAATAGCAACCCACCAGACCTCCATCCTCCTCAGCTCCCCCCTAAAGGCAGACGCAGACGACAACCCCCATCAAAGGTAGCAGAAGAAATTCAATTTGAAAAGGGGTTAATTTGTCTTTTTTTGTACTTGGTAGCACTGTGACAAAGAGCGCACCAACACACCTGCTGTTATTAAGTGTTGTGTTGTAGCGATGTCCCCAGAAATGGTGTGGAAATCAAAGCAAATAAGCTTCTTTGGGAAAGAAGAGATGAAACTCAGTGAAGATAACAGTAGTGAAATGTTCCGTCTGTGGTTAAGATGCTAATATCCTTTTTTATTCGCTTTTCCTTTCAGGATCCTGCCGAGTGCGCCAGCCCCGTCATGAAGAAACCACCTGTGAGTCTCAGTTGCTTCGGCAGAAGTTCTCCTCCCTTCATAAAAACTCTGCTGCCAGGGTGGTGTTTGATGAGTTCACCCTGTTGCACACGTGTGTGCCCAGTGGAAATGCTCAGTGACATAAATTCAACAGGCTCCATAATTATCAAATATCCTGAGTTTAGGATCAGGTCGGATGTAAAGGTTCTGAGATCAGCAGACAAAACTGCTGTGTAAGCTCAGTCATTTAAAGTCTTAAAACTTTTCATTATACAGTAATATGCTTTCTTACTTTTTAACTGCATGGTTAGTAATAAAAGAAATGAGCTATGGATGAAATATAGCAAAATATGGTACAAAATAAAGTCCAGACATGTATGAAAACACTCACAAGCAAGAATAGAAATGAACAACTAGTACTGTATATATGAAGTATTATCACATGGATGATCACAGCCATTCATTGTGCCTATAAATATATACACAAGGTCTAGTTTGGTTGTTTTATAGTTTTATATGCACAACATCACGTCAGGTTGGTGAAGACGGTGTGAATAAAATAAACTGGATGGATAAAATCACAATGGAACGTAGCCAGACAACCAAAAAACTGTACGTAGCCTGATAGTTCAGTTGTAAACATTACAAGAAAAACGTAACAAGAACAACTGCAGACAGTTGAGCTCACACATTTATTGTAGGACACTGTCAGTCACACACTGAGGGGCTGAACGTCAGCATGTGTGTCATCGATAATCAATCATAAGTCACCTAAGGGCTACTTATACAGATAACGTATCATCATAGATTAACGCATATGATTTAAAAGAGACTTTTGCACAGAGGAGAGTTGTTAGGACATGCTCCCATTTGACATCACAGCCTTATGTCATTGTCCTGGAAAATTATTTCTTGATGAGAGTGGGAGTCATTCTGGTGTGAGATCCCACCTGGTGATCCTACTGCTGCTATAATCAACAAAATGAATCATTTCATGTCCTCCCCTTCTCTCTCCAGGTCTACTTTAAGAAGATCTTCCATGGCTGCCCCCTTAAAATAAACTATTCCACGACCTGGGAAAACCCAGCTACCAAAGGTTGTGTCACTGAACAAAGCACACACCGAATTCTTCGCTGTCTTCCTTCGTATCAAACTTCTGTTGCATCTGTCTGACCAGCCTGTGTCCTCTCCCTCCTTCAGAGCAGCAACTGATCCTGGCGGCAGAGGAAGGAATATACACCCTGAACCTCAACGGCTCAGAGGCCACAATGGAGCTGGTAGGATCGCTGTCTTATTTACTACAGAGCTACATCAGTGGTTTTCACACTTTGGGATGTGAGGAGATTAAAATGAGCCCCGGAACTCTCTGGCAACATGGGGATGGGGTTTATCTTTTTTCTTAATATGTAGTGATGAAAGTCCCTGAGCAAAATGCTGAAGATGAGTCTGACTAAAATACTGAGGAGGCACTTGATCAGATATGTCTCACAACAGCCTGCTGCACTGTTGCAACAGAAAGCTTGAAAAGTGATTAAAGTGGCCAAAAGGAAACATTGAATGAATGAGTGTCTTCTCTTTCTCTTTCAGTTGTATCCTGGGAAGTGTACCTGGGTCTACACCATTAGTAACGTCCTCATGTCTGTATCAGGTGAATGAAAACTGTTCAATTAAAAATTAGCTGTGTGGGAGCTCTCACTGGATTATACGGGATTTCATATCCACTCTTTCTGCTGTAACTCTTAACTGACTTAGCTACAGTAGTCAAAATAAAAACAAATTAAGAAACTGCAAGGGCTTAAATGAATCATGTATACGTCTCTGTCCATGTTGGCTGTAAAGCATTTATTCCTTCATAGTGTATCAACAGAATATACAGCAGCTGTAGCAAGCTACTAACGCATCTACTTTGCCGACTTAAACATCTGTGGTTGGAAGGTGCAGTCAGTATTTTAGAGCATATGTTTGCAACACAACAACTGATAAACATTTAAATATTACTTAAAGCTATTCTACTTAATTCTTTTTCAGTCTAGAGGCTCTAGCCAGACTCTAAACAAACTGACACCATCAGCGGCTCCTAACTGCTTTTTGCCCCTCCCATCACGTTCTGTTTCCTAGCAATGATGTAAACTACGGATGCCTGGTTGGAACAAACTGCACAAAATGCAGCCTCCAGCCTGACGCTAGCATTAGCTGGCTAACAGTAAATGTGTCAACCCAGGAGAATGCTCTGGTTACTGCTAGTGTGACACAAAAAAGTCATTCAACACAAAGGTAAACTCATGACCATGCTAGGTGGCTAATGCTACCAAAACAAACAGGTTAGCTTTAGATGCTAACACATCCAGAAGGAAGAAGGCCACATCTGGATCCAGTCTGAGTCCTCTGGCTGCTTTTAACCCTCTCCATGTCAAACAGCCAAACCCATGTTAACCCTGGTTGTTGCTCTTTCTTTGTCCCACTCTCTCTGTGCTAAAGACGCCACCTCTTCACTCTGACAGCCGCTGGTTCAGACTTTTAGCTGCCCAGAGCTCCTCCATGGCTGTTTGACATGACTACTGGCTGGAAAAACCCTTCTTCTAACCTTGGCTAGGCGGCAGGCGGGGCTGATTTATAGACCGTACTTTGACAACACAGGGTGGAGAAGCTGGAATAACAAGAGGAGGCTGTAGGCAGCAGAGGGTCATGGAGGGGGGTGTAGCTGAGAGACACCATGTCCCACTGTCACTGGGGTTAGCAGACTGTAGGGGAAATCTGAGTTAATGTACCATTAATATATCACAATAGCACTCCTTTGTTCATCATATTATCCAAGATATTTTAAAGTCAGCATGCAAGTGACCTAATCTACATAGTAGTGATGTTACCACTGGGTGGTGCAGAGGTTAGTATCTTGCATGTTTTCTTCACATTTACATGGGTGTAATACCAAATCAGGTGGTCTGGCTTCTTTAAACCTGCCGTTGTTATGAATGTCAGTACTTCACTCTGTGATGGCTGCCGCCTGCTGTGACCCTCAACAGGATGAATCGGTTAAATAAGACAAATCTGTGTTTACAGGTAAATCATTGCAGCTTCACTCCCATTTACTGAAGGAGTTGTATGAACAGGCTCGGAAGGACCAGAGGATGGTTGCCTTACCGACTCACAGACTGTTACCCAGGTAATGCTGGACTCTTATTTCCTGTCACGATCTCTCTTGTTTCATTTGAAAGGTTTGTCTCAAACAACTTGCCACATCTGCTCACACCAGTTAAAATTTTTATGATCTTTGTCTTCAGGAAATATGCAGTGACATGTAAAATACCTGATACCAAGGGCTGCAAGACCTGCTCAGTTGGTGAGCCCAAATACTGCATTATGGGAAATAAATCCTCTTTAATCATTAAAGTGTCTGTGCAGAAACTATACATATTGTTAAATTTAAGCATCAGTTCCCTGGACTGCAGTAGAGTGTGTGTGGTCAGATGTAGGTTGGACACATTTCTTTTCTTCTGCACTTCTCTGCTGTTGCTGCTTCTCTGCACACTAGTGTGAGAATTTAAACTGCATTAGTAAAACTAAAGGATGCAGATTCCTGTTCCATAGACAGGTTTCCAGATTTGGTTGATTCAGAGGTAACTTCATTCAGACTATAACTTGTGTTCTGTCTCCTGTAGCAGGTAACATGCAGCAAAGCTGCGTGTTCCTGTGCTGTGCTCTGGAGTCCAGTGTGTTGCTGCTGCAGTGGTACGAGCCCATGCACAAGTTCATGCTCATTAAGGTATGTTAGGATATTTTTAAAGGCAAACATGAGCCTTTTTAATTTAAGTATTAAATAAGTAAGATTTTCTGATTTTAACAGGTTGGTCTGGCCCATTAATAGTTCCTTTGTGTTCTGACACTGTTGTTGAAGTCCATGCTGTGTTCAAGAGAAATCACAAAGGTGGACACTTTTTGAAGCCAAAGCTATGAGATCTATCTGTCTAACATCAGGGGCAGTGTGGCAGCAAAGCGCAAAAGTCACACAACACAGGGGTCATGAAATGTAAGAAGCACGTTATACTGTATGTATTGGCTGCATCTGCCCTGATGAAGACCTGGTGAGGTCGAAACTGGTCAGCGTTTTTACTGAAATTACAATTACATAAAGGCTTCTTAATGTACTCCTTGCTCCACCTAAGAGTACCTGAAGTAGTTTTTTTATTCTATTTTTGTTTGGCTCAACTTGAAGAGCATCTAAAGGTTTCTGGACTTGTGTTGTTGGACTGTTGAGCACGAGGCCCTTTTTCTCTTTTTGCATGTTATGTGTATTAGTCCATCACAAATTACATTTTTATGTATAACTGTATCAAAGTCCCAGTTTTTTGTCTTCCTTAAAAAATGACACATTTTTACCGCATCTTGAAAGTCATATAAGAGTGTGCAAAAACGAGAATGCTTCTGGTATCTCACACCACTGGCTAACATGTTAAACACATCAACGCGTATTCATCAAACGCCTTTTATTAGCAACCATCCACCTGGGTGCCAGAATTGGATTTTTCTCTGCCACCTCCTACCATGGATGACGGCAGATTTCTTTCTGTGGTTTGATAAAAACTGTGTGAATCGAGATGATGTCTGGTGTGATGCCATGGACTTTGTATCTCAAACGTCTTATTCGGTTGCTAACACTGGCAGCAGCTAACACAGTGACTCCTGGCAATGAAGCCTTGTGATCATTAAATTTATGGATTAGTTTTAGGCATGTGGGATGGTTTTGAGAGCAGGGTTCATTGATGCCTTCAGTTATACATCATGCTGTGTCGAAGAGGCTGCAGGTTTAAGTGTCCCTCTGCTTTAGTAGCTGCCCTGTGTGAGGTGGAAAACCACCGCTAAAAATACCCAAAGACATTTAAAGGGAGATTAAATTCTTGACTTAGACGTTTGCTCTTTCATGCTTGCAGCATTTTGACTTCCCCCTGCCCAACCCTCTGCGGGTGTTTGAGATGGTGGTGGTGCCCGAGCAGGAGTACCCGATGGTGTGTATCGGTGTGTCTCGGGGGTCCAGCCCCTCCAAGCCAGTCAATGTAGAATACATCAATCTCAACTCCAACACGTCATGGTTCACCAACTCTGGCCTAGGTAGGTCGATACATCATCCACTATAAAGACTTCGGAATACAGGGGACTACCAAGCACAACATTATGATTCTCAAACCTTCTGCGATTTGCATTTTACATTTTACACTGTTATTTTTGTCTGTGTGTGTGTGTGTGTGTGTGTGTGTGTGTGTCCTCTCAGAGAAACCGTCCCCAGACATTGTGCAAGTAAACCAGCTGGACAGTAGTTCACTGCTCATCCTCATAGAAAGTACGTTTCTTTTAATATCTGACATTTGTATTTAAGACATTTTAAACAGACGCACACATAACAAAACACAATTATTTGTACATTTGTACACACTCTATTGCAACATTACTGACTGTGACCTGTAAAACACCACAGAACTAAACTGGCACCTCTTTGCCGCAGTCAACTTGATCAGCTTCACAGCGAGACCCTTTGTTGCCTGGGTAATGGTTGAAATGATTTAGACAGGTGTTCATGTTAATGTGTCCACTCCCAACATAGTGGAGATGACACCCACCCTGTTATGGTATAGTATATCATGGAATAAAGTGGCATAGGGATGAGGTATTTTTGTAGGCAAAGCGAGAAGTCAGTATCACCCTGGTTCCCTCGACAAAAAGCCAATGGGATTTTTCCATAGGCTTTTGTGTTTTTGCACTTGGTAAGACACAATTAAATGTGCCAATGAATGGGAGAGCATTCATATGGAAGCTGAGTATACAGGTTAAATGATGTTTACCCATTATTTGGCTCCACCCTTAACACAAAGCATCCCCGGACCCTGTCCTCACCCAAACAGAGAGCAGATATGTGGCTTAACACACAGCATCTGCACTGTATTTGCTCAGGTTAAGCAGTGGCTGGTCCGACTGGCTTGTAGTGGTGGTCAACTCAAAGCCGGGTTTGCTCAGTTCTCCAGCCACTGACACTGATCTACCAAGGCTGTTTAACAGAAGAAATCTATTAACAAATCCAGTCAGTTTGTAGCTATATTATCACCAATACACGGTGGGTGTAGGAGTGAAGGCAGGTCATCAGGTGGACGCCTTCTCACTAACTTGTGTTTCACTGAGTTGGGCTCACAACACTGAGAAGACTCAGTGGGTTCCAGTGTCCCAGAACCACCCCTTTCTTTGCCTGCACCCACACACCCAACACAGCCCTTCATCTACTCAGGCTAATTCTGGCTAAATGTTAGCAAACAGTCACTAACACTAGCAAACATTACTAGGTTGTGCAGCAAATGTTTTGTCTACTGCCATACTGTGTTTTCATGCTGATGCAGCTTGTGGTAACACTAGGCCTCTCTCCTCCACAGAGTCAGTACATTTAGTTGGTCTGGACAAGGACTTGAAGACCAACAGGCCTCTGACACATGAAACCACCTTCTCTCATGATGTCGAGTCTATAGGTGAGAACATCCACTGACAAACCAGTGATGCTAACACTGTGGATGATTAGTGCTCAGACTCTATCTGTCTGCCTGTCCAGTGTATTTTGAGGACACACTGTTGGTAGTGTGGCGCCACGGCTGGCAGAGGAGAGGACAAGGCTTCACTGAGGTACTAGATGAAATCAATGACCCCAGGAAGATCCACCGACTGGTGCAGTCGGACAGGTACGACCCGCCTCCGCATCCTTCTGTGGCGTTAATGTCTGGCAGCTTCAGTTTTTGTGCTCCTGATAGTTTCTACAGCTGGTGCTGTTTTCTTTGTTTGGGCATCGTATCGTAGCTTTTGTTTCTTCTGCCAGCTAATCAGCTCAGCTTCTGCTTATGACAGTTGGGAAAAGACATCATTCCATATGCAGCAGAGAATATTTTCCAATCAAGATGCAGCAGGTTTTGGAGTCTGTAGCAGGTCTGTGAGGCTGCACTGAGGCGCAGCAGTGCTTTGCTAGCATGCTGATGTTGACTATGTGTAATGTATAACATGTTTATAATTAGAATTTTGTGTTAGCATGCTAACATTTGCTAATTAGCATTAAACACAAAGTACAACTAAGGCTGATTTCACCAGTATTTGGACATAAACCAAAATATTGGGACATCTGAGAAAGTTCCTGAAAAGTCAGCAGGACTCATCTTCTGACAACCTTAAAACATCTTTAAACTTCTTCTTTGTTGTTAATTTCACCTGCCTACTTAATCCCTTATCTCTCCTGCTGCTATTTTTGTGTGTAACTTCTTTTTGCTCATCATGTGTCTATGTAAAATGCCTCCTCTATGCATTTAAAACCATGATACAATTTATTATTATTATTATCATTATTATTATTAACATCCACCAAATAGCTGTTGAGATATTTAAGATATTTCAGGTCCAAAGCAACTGAGTGAAATTAGCAAAAACAGAAAAACCATGTTCACACTGAGAGAGATCAGTGTTTATGGTTTGCTTTGCTTTCCACCCGTTAAGATGTTCACTCAGTTCTGGCAGGTTCACTCCACTGATGCTTGACATCATCCGACCTTCTCTCCACAGGATGGTTATTTTGGAGACGCGTCAGACCGAGGACCAATCGGGACTGTGCAACCTGTATGTTTTGGAAATTGCTGAGAATTACGTCATGCTGCCCTGACTCACCTGTTTGCTGGCACACAAGGCAACATGAGAAACTCCCAACCCCACTTTTATAATGAATGCCTCAGGATTTACAGCATTCAAAGGAAAGACGCACCGGGAATTACCATTTGGGAATGGATGCTGCCACAGTATTTTATTTTCTAATAGGAGGAGAGGAGTTACGTATGTGAAGAGAATGTGATGACAAGATGTTGTGTTGTAACCTTTGTCCCTCAAACTTGGGGGCTCTGTTCTTATTTATGCTGATATTTACTTGGTTTGTGAGATCCAGAACAACTCCCAGAACCCAGGCAGCTGAGAAAACCTTAAAACAACAGTGAAGGAAGGTCATCCTCTCTGACACTAAACAGGAGCATCTCCTTTCTTCTGCCACAATATTGTTGATCACAGCAGCAGTTTCCTGCAGGGACTGAAATAAGTGGCTATTCAAAGATGCCACATACGAGCATCAAGGAATGAAGCATACAAGCCCAAATCAGAAAACAGTGATACAGTGTGTAAAATCTAAATTAAACTGAAAATAGTTTATGGGTTTAATTTTGATTTTACACACCTTCCTGCCTTTTTCTGATTTGGGGTTGTAGCAGCACTGCTGTTGTTTTGTAACCGGAACTTTTGTGTTATTGTGTTGTGGTGTTGGATCGAAGATGCACACTTGTTACTGCTGTTACACTGTAATAAAGTTCCTAAACACAACATGAGGTGAACTTTGTTGATCTTGGAGGGGAAACTGGGCAGATCACTTCAGGTTAATGAAAGGTGCAAGTTAATTAGGCATTCTCTGTTAGTGTGTTTAGGTGGTGTGAATGTCACATGTGGAAAGCTGTGGTGTTATCTGTGTGTATGTGTCCACCCCTTAATATGTACATGCTTTGCTGTAATGTAGTTGTTTTGCATCTAGTTTCTCTCATTTTACCACCCCCACCCCACACACACAGACCTTACGGCCCTGGGCCTATAGGCCTGTTCCTGATCCATCCATGACAACAGGAGATTCGTGCCAGTACAGACTGTATCTGATCTGCACAAATCTGTCCTGCTCATGTTCAACTGCTGAATATAAAACGAAGCTACTCTGAATAAATTAGTCCAAGTCATCCTTCTGAAGACTAATACAGATGCATGAGGGTGTCGATTTGAATTTAGAACAAACAGCTGGTCAGTATTTTTTGCATCTAATTTCAAGCCACTGCATTCCGTTTTAGACTGTGCATTTAAAATCCTTACTTTGAATTAATTTATTCGGGAAAGTAATTTTCTTGATAATATTTAACAGCTCAGTATGAGTATGACGGCGTCACATTTGTGCAATTCAAATGAGGTCATCTCTGGTGGCACTAACCTATTTCCATAATAAGACACCGGTTATTTCGAAGACTTGCCATCGAACTTTATAGTCAGTTTCTTCCATGAGGGCGGGACTGTAGAGTAGTGCGCACGATTCTCTGCCACATATTTAAAGTTTTCCTTATGGGTCTCACTGTGAGGTTAAATGAGGGTTAAATGAAGCTGTGCCCTAGCGGGAGTGCGCAGCGCCGGGCCAGCAGCCGTCGCATCATCACGCGTAGTCTACTTTACGCACACCGGATGAACGGCGGCAGAGAGCCGATCGAGGATGATGCTTACAGCGGCTCAGAAGCGCTTTCTCTCGGTGTTTATTCACCAGGGGTCAGCGGTATGGTCAGTGACACTGGAGTAAAATGCACTGGGGCAGACCGGGTGTGCTGGTCGGCCTAGCTGAGCTCAGCAGCTGCTGCTCCTCGCCTTCGCTTCTCCCATTTGTATTCTAGGACAGTTTTTTGTATTGCAACGTTATTATTTCCAGGTCAGAATCTTAGTTTCCTGTGCGGTTTGTTTGTACTAAAAATGGCCGGAGATGGCGGCGCTCTGAAGGATATCAATGAGATTAAATCCCAGTTCCGGACCAGAGAGGGCTTCTACAAGCTGCTCACCCTCTCGGACTCGCAGCAACGGGGCGGGCTGCCGCGGGGTCCCAACTCCTCTCCGGCAGGGTTCCTGCCGCCGGTCCGGGTCTCTATGGTCAAACTGCAGCCCGAAGACCCGAGCGAGGAGTCGGAGCGGGTGTGCTTCAACATTGGCAGGGAGCTGTATTTTTACACGTACACCAACATCAAGAAGGTGAGCCTGGTCTGAGCCTGGACGGTCAGGGTCAGCCTCGCAAGCTAGCCTGTGCCTGTATGGCCAGGGTTAGCTTTAGCCTGTGCCTGTATGGCCAGGGGCCAGGGTTAGCTTACAGGGTTAGCTTAGCTTGCTAGCCTGTGCCTGTATGGCCAGGGTTAGCTTAGCATGCTAGCCTGTGCCTGTATGGTCAGGGTCATCCTCGCATGCTAGCCTGTGCCTGTATGGCCAGGGTTAGCTTAGCATGCTAGCCTGTGCCTGTATGGCCAGGGTTATCCTAGCATGCTAGCCTGTGCCTGGATGGCCAGGGTTAGCCTAGCATGCTAGCCTGTGCCTGGATGGCCAGGGTTAGCCTAGCATGCTAGCCTGTGCCTGGATGGCCAGGGTTAGCCTAGCATGTTAGCCTGCACTGCTAATTTGAAGCTGTTATCTCGCATTTCGTCATCTTATAAAACTAAACCTCTTTGGTTGTTAGTGCTGCACAGACCTGGCGAACAGCACTTACTGGCCCGCATGTCTATTTGTGATGCAAGTCAAAATGGAGTGGTTGATCATTAGGCTGAAGAGACAGTGAATGGTGCATCATCCAGGCGGAGGCACGGTAACAGGGGGCACTACAGGAAGCAGCCTGACAGCGCTCCATTCACGGCATTTTTACTGGGAACCGTGTGACCCAAAGGCTGTTTATTCTCTCTGCCGCATGTGAATGTTAATGTGAAGCTGCTTGTTCTCAAACCACACGGTTTGTGCTTACAGTTGATGTAACTGTACCAATATGGAAGAGGGGTGTTGCAGGGTGAACTGGTCCCCGGCAGATGGTTTACAAACACAGGATGCTGTTGATTTTAATACTGAAACCCTGTGTATAACAGTCTGCGCTGCCCCCCTGTCCCCCTGGGGAGTTGATAATGTGTGAAAGTCAGTGTTTTTTAATCTACTGAGTTACAGATATGACTGGTCCGAGGTCTACGTGACACAATGGTGTAGTGGAAGGATTCGTTTCTGCATCTGTCCTCCACTTTCTCCTCACAGAGCTAGTTGTTAGCATCGCTAGCATTCAGAGAGCCGAGGATGTTTACTACAGACCTGAAGCTGCCTGCTACACGACTTGTTTAAGGAGAAACTGAAGGTTCTCCTTCTGTTAAAATACCAGGGCCTCTCTGCCACTGCAGGGCATCGGTCACACTTTTAGACGGATCATGGTGTAGGGATTGGCTTTGTTACTGATGTCAGTGTGTGTAGATTATTGAACTGGCACATTCACATGCAAGACATGGTGTAAGATACTGTACATTCAGAAATTAATTAGTGTGTGCATCCAGGCAGCCTGCAGGAAGTTACACTCCACATCCCCCCGAGGAGGTCTGAAAGTTTGTGCAGTAAATGATTTGACTGTGAAACCAGATCTAAAACCAGGGATGCTACTGCTTTTCTTCTCATACTGCTTCTGATTCCCAATCTCAAGGTTATCTGCTGATATAGAGCACCGGTGAAACACTGGATTTCATGGTGATGCTCATGGATCAACTGCCGAACAGGTCAAGCCAGCACAGGCCCAGGGGTCTGAGGGGTTGGGGGGGTCCCGGGATCTCACCTGCAAAATATCCCAGAGACAAAACAACAATAGCAACAACAAATATGGCTGAAATGAGACACAAAACTACCACAAAGAGAATCTACAACTGCAAAGACATGCAAAATGCAACAAAGAGACACAATATGACTTTTAAGACATGCAAGAAGACCACAAAGAGAAGCAAAACATCAAGGATACACAATAACTTTAAAAGACACAAAGCATGTCTGTTTGAGCCTTGGTGTCTCACTTTTACAAGTCTCTGCCCCAGTGTCCAGTGTGTCACAGTCTGTCCATGATGGTAGTGACAGAAAACTGTATTTGATGTGGATGGCCACATCTGGCTTGTACCCAGTCTGCTTAATGAGGTGGCACATCTGTAATAGAGCTGAAACTATTAGCCAGTCAACTGATTAGATCAACAGAAAATTGATCTAGTTATTGTTTCCATAAATTTTTTTTAAGTAAAAAATGCCATTCATAGGTTCAGCTCCTGGAGTGTGATGCTTTTCTTCATCATATATAGGACGTGACCCGGGTGTATTTGGAGTTTGGACTGTTGGCCTGACAAACACGTCACCTTTGGGCTCTGGGAAACCGCTACGGACAGTTTTCATCAGCAGATTGTCGTACTGCGCCCTGTTGTCTGATAATCAGTCTGCAGACTGCCCCCCTGCTACTGTGTTGTAACTTACTGTTTTGTGTTTGCAAGTGGATTGATTTGTTGATTTTTTCAGGTCAAAATGGGAAAACACACCCAGTTTTTATCTGTGTTTGTTACATAGTCAATGCAGCGGCGTTTCACTGACTGTACGTCTGTGCACAGCAGGTCCTCACTTCCCCAGTTCAGGCTGCTTTTAACCTAAAAGCCTAGATGTCTGTTGACCTGCAAGTCACGAATCTTTTCTGAGTGAGTTGCCTCATCTATTTCCCCTTCAGCCAATGACCTTCTACATTTTTCAGAATGCTTTTCTAACATAAAATGTCACTGAAGAAATCACTGATGATGGTGATGATGATGAGTAATGCCTCCTAACTCCAAACCACATGTCTGTTTAAAGGAGAAGTTAGCGGTTTTCAAGCCTAAAAACAGAACTCACATGTGCCCTGTAACAGTTTAGCTCACATGTGCCCTGTAACAGTTTAGCTGCTGGAGTTTGTCCTCCTGTTCACAGTGGCCGGTCAGAGGTCCATTTCAGTTGTCCAAGACATAGAGGCCGAATCCACAGTCCTCATATTCTCCACTGATATAGTCGACATTTATCTGAGGCTACTGAAATAGACTCAAGCAGCGTTACTGTGTCCAACTGTGGTAAAGAGGGAAATTTCTATTGGGACTGCTGGAACCTCGTATCGGCTTCACATAAAGTTTGGAGTAGATTTTTGCACAGAGGTTTTGTCTCATCACTTCCACTGGTGTCACATTGGGATGTCTGAACAGGAGGAATGGTAACAAGCAGCCAAACCAGTTTCCCGTCTCTTCTGGCCATTTGACTGTTGTTCTTTCCCTCAGTGTTTGTTGTGACTCCTCTCCTGCACATTGAGACCACCTATTGTATAGTCAAATCTTGAACATAGAGTGCGGACTACAGTGTAGGAGTGACCATGATAAATCCTCAGAGATCAGGTGTGACCTTTCGTTCCCGTCTGATGAATTTCTCCCAGTTTGGCTGTTGAGTGTTGGCGCATGAGCAGCTCTAGAGGGAAACCTTTGGTCCTTCATTCTGGCACCAATGTCTGATGTTGACCGTTGATCATTTGGATAGATGAGAATGTTTCAGTTGTAGCTGCTGTGTGAAATTTTGTCACATACAGTATGTTTCAAGATCACTTGTCAAACCAAGAACAGAATCCACCACCACATACTGAGCAGGCCCAGAAATGTAAGGCACGTTGTCAGGAGAAGTTTAGAACTGTGGTAAATTGTATTAGTGTGGGTTTTTGCTTTCAAATGACTGGAGATTCGTCACTCTTGCTGTTCATCATGGTACCCTGTCTCCGCTCTGTCTGCAGGCTGTAGACCTCAGTAAGCCAATAGACAAGAGAATCTACAAGGGGACTCAGCCGACGTGTCATGATTTCAACCAGTATTCAGCCACAGCAGAGAGTGTGGCTCTGATCGTGGGTTTCTCGGCCGGACAGGTCCAGTATCTTGACCCCATCAAGAAGGAGACCAGTAAACTCTTCAATGAGGAGGTATTACATTTGTCTGTGTATGTCTGCATGTGTTAGTTTTACTGTGTGCTGGTGAAAGTGGCCGCGGTCGCAGTTCTCGTGGTGTTGTGATAAAAAACCTGCTACAATACAACAGTTGTGCTTTGTGTCAGGTTTATGCTGTGATGTTCTCTAGAAACCGAGGCTGCAGCGCTGTCGCTCTAACACGCTTTGTTGTTTTTACATTTCCTGTCTCCTGAAGTTTAATAGGATCCCCAAATAAATTAAGGAGACGGGGTGTTTGTGTGCACTGCTGCATGTGGACTTGGTGTCATCGCGTCTGCTGAATCTGTTCCCCTCCCTGAGATTAGTTTCTCTAAATCTTCTTCTTTCCTCCCTGGTCTTGTCTCTGCGTTGCTTCCTTCCTGTCTCCTCTCTGTCTCCGCTGCAGCTCACACTCGTTTCTGATCTCTGTAGACCTCTGCTTCCTTTGTGTTTCTGTCAGTAGTTTCTTTAGTTTTGTCAGATCATGCATTTTGCTAGCAGTGTGGTGGTCGGCGTGCTATCTACATCAATACACAAAAACCCCTAAATCAAGGTATTAATTATATCTTTATTTTACTTCCCTTTATTCTTTTTTCACCCATTCCTCCCTCCAATCTTCTACGTCCTTCCATCCTGGCTTCCCTTATTCCTTCTTTCCTATTTTGCCCTAAATCTCTCCCCTACCCTTCTCTCTTCCCTGTCTTACCCTTCCCTCCACTCCCCACCTTCTGTTTTCCAGAGGTTGATAGACAAATCCAAGGTGACGTGTCTAAAATGGCTTCCCAAGTCAGAGAACTTGTTCCTGGCTTCCCATGCCAGCGGCCACCTCTACCTCTACAACGTGGACCACCCATGCGGCACCACGGCGCCACAGTACTCTTTGCTGCGGCAGGGCGAAGGCTTTGCCGTCTATGCCTGCAAAACCAAGACGCCACGCAACCCACTGTTGCGATGGGCTGTGGGTGAGGGGGGCCTCAACGAGTTTGCTTTCTCCCCAGATGGCGTGCATGTGGCGTGTGTGGGCCAGGACGGCTGCCTGCGTGTCTTCCACTTTGACTCGATGGAGCTGCAGGGGGTGATGAAGAGCTACTTTGGTGGGCTGCTGTGTGTGTCGTGGAGCCCCGATGGGAAATATCTCGCCACAGGTGGAGAGGATGACCTGGTAACCGTCTGGTCATTTGCTGAAAGCCGTGTGGTAGCAAGGGGGCATGGACACAAGTCCTGGGTCAACGTGGTGGCGTTTGACCCCTTCACCACCTCCTTGGAAGATGATGAGCCCATGGAGCTTAGCGGCAGCGAGGAGGACCTCCATCAGGGGCCACCAAATAACTCACTGCACTTTGGCCGAGTTCGAACAAGCAGCACTTTGTCACGTCTTTCTCGGCACAGCTCTAAAGGTGGCGGTTCGCCATCGGTCACGTACCGGTTTGGCTCGGTGGGGCAGGACACCCAGTTCTGCTTGTGGGACCTGACAGATGACGTGCTGTATCCCCGCCTGCCGCTGTCCCGCGGCTTCA